TCCTGTTGCTGAATCAAAAATAGTACACTGAGTCATTTGTTACAGGCGGTTAGACAGTCACCAGCCACATTGAACACACGTACCACCACTCTCTCCGGTCCAGCTTACCCACGGCCTCCTTCACACAAGGGTCTTCTCATCTCAAACAGCAGCTTTACTTGCGTAAGGTCTGCAGTGCTGATTAAATCCCTCTTTCTGCTGCAGCACATGCTTTCAGCAGGTTGGTGGATTATGTCCTTTGATCCAAAAATCCACTGAAATGGGTGAGAATTTTTCTACTGCCTTCCAGGAACCTTGAGTCAGGGCTGTTGAGTCTGAGATCGCCACCTTGGAATGGGGTAGCTGGCCCTGGATGAACGCAGGGCAACACAGGAACATACACTGTAATGGACATTGATCCTGCCCATTTTTAGTGGCAACACCAGTAGGACTTTGAGCGTGGGGAGAGATAAAGGTGTAAGCAGGGACCCCAAAATGCAGTGATTTTGAAGCTTCTCTTTTCCCTCAACCCAAACCCGAAGAGTTAAGCTACTTTCCCTTACACAGGGACCTGCAAAATGAAACCCAGGGAATAATCTATGCCAACTTATTAATATCCATTTCCTAGGAATAGGTATTTCCATGCTTTCTACAAGGAATCACTGTGAAAGTTGCAAGCTTGGCAATCTCACAGAGGATTTTTGTGTTTCTAATATCTATTTTATTTTTGTATTTTATTTCCTGAAGCACTTTTGTGCTTTATCCCAAATCAAAACAATCTGTGCCAGCAGACCTACAATAATTACCTTTAGGGATGACCGGTGTACAAAGAAAGAGAGGAAGACGAAGGAAACCATGAGGGAGTTAATTCAGTTTTCAAAGAACTATTAATTATTCATTAGTTTGGTATTATTAACTATTAATAACTAACCACAAGAATCAGCCGCCACAAAGCCCTGCTAACACTGCTTCCAACGGGGCTCTGTTGTGACTTGCACCTTGCTCAACACGTAGCAATATTTGCCCACTGGATTGAGCAATGCTGATCATGCCCATCCTGCAGTCTCACCTTACAGGGCAGGCTGAATTTTGACACTGACTCTGTCGCTAATCCATGCTAGTGTGTAAGCATGGATTTATACCAGCCTCTCGTATCTGCTTTTTAGGTCTCTGATCTAGCATCTCAGCATCGTCACACCTTTGCTGGTGTGAAGGGCTTCAGCATAAAATAGTCTATTACTTCTTGACGTTGTCATCCCACTGTGTCGTTTGTGAATTTTAAATGTATTTATTTTGTGTCCCTGAACTTCTTTTGCCTTAATACGCAGCCTTTTGAGCTCACTTCTGGTTTGTATCTAATTTATAGGGACATTGCCCTGCTGAAGTACACTGCTATAATACTATACTTATCATGTGCCTTGGGGGATAAAGAGACAAAGTCAGACCTTGTTATACTCTATTTTTGTATACGTATGTCCCTTGATTTCATTAGGAAACACAACATGGAACTGATACGTCCTGTGGCTATGTTCTCACCAGTAGTCACTACAAGTATTTTAAAACTATGGCATATAACATGTGTTCTCCAGTCTCGGTTTCTGATTCATAAGCTCTGTGATCTTTCTGCCCATCCAAACAGCTTGACAAACTCCCATTCGAATGCACAGAACAGTGTGAACTAAGAGTATAAACTGGTAATTGTCTACGGACTCTGAAGCGCATGAAAGGCAAATCCCATGGACACAGTTGGTTCCACCACACCCTAAAATCAGCAACGGGGCGCTACAAACATACAGCTTCCCACTTCTTGTGTCCACATCCTCTCCTCGGTCAGGGGAAGCCCCAAGCATGTAGCTCCCAGCTTCCCTCACACTGGTTTATGTGCAGAGACCATGTGGAGAGATAGCGGCGGTGGGAGCCACAGCACACTCCCCCCAGCTCCTCGGCAGGACCCCAACTGCGATGCCACCTATCTAAAAGCAGATGTAGGCTGAGTCAGAAAGTTCAAAAGCCCACTCACTTTAGACTTCAACTGTGGAAAATGCCACATTTGCTCATTGCTAAGAATGCGGACTTTTCTACGGCAAAGTACAGCACTGACGCCTCCTTCAGAACCTTCCTACAGAGAGTGGGGGTGGTCAGCATAAGTACAACTTTAAGAACAACTTCAGATATTTGTGTTCCCAAATACTTTGCAAATGACAAAACGAAAGGATCCTCACAAAGAAGTAATATCCCTAGTACAAACTAAATACACTTATTCTTCCTTGCTCTGCCCCCGAAATGCTTCTGAATATTTTAAATGGTGAAAGAACAAAAGAATTTAAAATTACAAGAATCCTGAGATTCAAAATCACCAACACTTTGATTGAAATAATTCACCATGGTGACTTTAATAGTACAAATCCTGCTTTCCTCATATTATGGTGCCTCTTTATTGTAGACTTCAGAAAATTTGGCACATTCTTGTAGAAGAAGTGACATAAAAGGTGGTCCTGAAAGCAGCCCAGCAAATGCAAGCTGTTTCCTCTGGTCTCTCCCCTTCCATCTCACAGTGAACAAAGAGAATTTTCTACCTCTCTGTGCTACAGACTTCCCTGAGGGAAAAACAGGTTTGCATCAGTTCCTGAAAATAGTTGCATGGTAGTGCTGCTGAAATTGCTTCACATTTAGGTCAAATCTTGACAAGAGCTTTAAAATGCTACTAGAGCTGAAGAGATTTTGTGCAAGAACCTTAGGGTGTATCTTACACATTGAAATAAGGCACTACGAGGCTAAGAGGAAGCCAATGATTTCAAGTCACTGGAAAGCTAAGTCTAATATTTTATCTATGACTCTTGTAAGAACAGAGCAGTAGTATTGTGACAGGTGATAAAGAACAATGAACTTTCAAAGGAACAAAGGTGTCTAGGAGATGCAAATAGCTCTACTGTAAGTGTCCCTCTGATGGGCGATGGAACAGAGGCACTGAAAGGGAAAGCTGGAAAATAACGTGACAATTAGAGTCAGTCTTACAGAAGAAATTTAATCACCAAGGCATTTAATCATTCCTTATTTTTAAAAATAGGAATTTTTATGATTACAAATGTAAAATATGCCTTTCCAAATGTTCTTTGTGGATTACTTGTTAATGCTAGTTTGACTGTCTTTTCGTTGTGAAACACATACTACATTTTCAGAGCTGTTCACAGAAGAGTATTGGGAATTTGGAAACCAAACTGGCATTTATTCTTTTAACTGGCAGTCTGATAATGCTGATACAAGTCTTCATAAAACTGAAATACATAAATATTGAAAATATAACTACTATTTTATAATTTTAAAACAACCTTTGATTTTACCCCAACATGATTTCATTTTCTTATAGATGCCTGAAAATATTCCATAGTCAATACGCAAATTTTGTCACATTTTTGAATGAGTTTGTCATATTGTTACACTGACAAGTCATCAAAAGTTTGCCCTATTATTGCCCATCCAAACCATTTCAGGTGTCCATCGTGAACCACATAACACACAAGAACTTAATACTAGAAGCCCATTGAATAATTAAGTTTGAAAGTAATTTGGTGCCCTCCTGCACAGCTTGTGTAATGCTTATTTAGATTTTATTCGGACATTATCTTTTTTTACTTGAGTGGCAGTTTTGCCCTCTTAATAGCACACTGTAGTTAATAATGTTGCTATCTCCTAATAAACCTGCATAGAAATAAAATTGCTGCTGCTACCGATATCCTCAGAGAGAGGATTTGCAGCAGTGTGCCAAGAAGGATTGCTCCGATTGGCACAGTGGAACTGAGGGGGTGAACATGGCTCCTTCATGTTTGCTGGTAAATGCCAGACCTTGAATTCAGCTAAAAACCATGACAGGCACTGGCTGCATAGGGAGGTCAGAATGTAAACTGAAAGGGAATAGTTTCCTCAGCAGGAGTATATTTTGTGACACAGCATCCCAGAAGTGACCACACTGTCTTACACATCCCTCCTTTCCCCAAGCACAAAACCCTCGGCTTCTTTTACAAAAGAGGAAGGAGTGAAAGGTTTTGCCTACTGCATGTAGATACAATCTCAGCGTTCAGCATTGCCCTTTCATTTAAAATATCGATTTCTATTTATATTCCCTGATTATCTAACAGAATTCACTCTGACCTAAGGGACAGATTAATTTTTTTACTCTTATCCTATTGCCATTTGACTCTGTGTGTGTGTGTGTGATGTTGCTTCACTTCATTTAGAAATTAGAATATAGAATTTTTCCTATTTATAATTAATTTCAGTTGTATACTATCTGCTATTCTTTTTAAAGACAAAACATTGCTTACAATCAGAAATGTATGATCCAAAAAAGTATTCCTGAACGTTTTATTTTGGAAGTGTAAAGGGGTTTAAAATAAACAAAAGTAAATATTCAAATACATTTCATATTGCATGTGGTAGGAGTGGCTCCATATAATACAATACGGATAAAGCAAATTTGGCAGTTAATTTCTTTGAGACATAGAGTATAATACATAGACACTTCCAGATCTGGTCTTGTGTCATATGTATCATTGCTTGACCTTTTTGTTATAATTTAAATTCAGCCTACTTTATTAATTATTAATATTTTATTTGCTATATTGATTGTTCAAATTAGAAAAAAAAACAGTTAAAAACTATTGACTTCAGGACACTGCAAGACCCTAAATACTGCAATCTCTGAAGATAAATATACATTTATTTTTTGAGAAAATATCATTACCTGCAGATTAATCAATGCAAAATGATCGTGCAATTAAATAGGACAGTCTGAATTGAGATTTAAAGCTGCAGACCATGATTTTCCTACTTCCAGTGCTGCTTGAAATTTCTCACACCTTTAAAAAAATATAATTAGCTTTAGATTTATCCCACAATAAATAACACCAGAACATACCTTGTGCTACCAACCTGAATTTAAAAAAAAGAGGCCACCTCAGTGTTTTGAGTTTATGAGATCTTTCAGACACAAAGCCCTAACAGAGTTTCCCAGTCAAAAGGCATCAGGAAGGCTCATCGCTTATGGTAAATTTGGGCTTTAGCTTGACAGACCTTTTCCTTATTGTTCCTTTAGGGGACAATGGCATGGTGTCCATAATGCTCTTGTCCTCCTCCAGCTGCCTAGCAGTGCACGAAGGGGTGGGCACTTTCACCGTGTTGCCGAATTTAGAGTAGTCCACAGAGTATCGCCCATCTTCCTCTGCCACAATGGGCACAAACCTTTGGCCCCAGAGGATTTCATCTGCCAGGTAGGAGGTTCTGGCTTGAGTTGTGATGCCAGTGGTCTCCACCACCCCTTCCAAGATGACGATGATCTCCAGGTCCTCGTGGTGGTGAAGGTTCAGGGGAGAGATGTCGTAGAGGGGGCTGTTCTTGTCTATCACGTGGTAGATGATGAGTGGGGAGACCAGGAAGATGCTGTTGCCCCCCACGGGGTTCTCCATCTGGATGTCAATCTGGTTGAGGGGTACCACCTCCCCCTCCAGGCTGGCAGTCTTCTTCACCACCTGCATGCGGATGGTGGCGCTGATGATCATGCTCTTCCGGAGGTCACCCACCCGCAGCATGAAGCAGAGCTTGCCCTCCCTCAGGGCGATGACCGCATGCTTGCTGAAGATGAGGGTCTCGGCCCGGCGGTGAGCCTGCGAGGTCTTCATGAAGATGCAGCCCAGCATGATGGCATTGATCACCAGTCCCACGATGTTCTGCACAATCAGCACCAGGATGGCAGCCGGGCACTCCTCTGTCACCATGCGTCCCCCAAAGCCGATTGTCACCTGCACCTCAATGGAGAAGAGAAAGGCAGAGGTGAAGGAGTGGATGCTGGTCACGCAGGGCACAAAGCTGGCTGAGGCCCCCACCGCTCCCTCTCCGGGGTCACGCTGCAGCCGAGTGCTGTGGTCCAGGTCTCCATGGGCAAAGGCAATGAGCCACCAGACCATGCCAAAGAGCAGCCAGCTGCAGAGGAAGGACATGGTGAAGATGAGCAGCGTGTGGGGCCACTTGAGGTCCACCAGGGTGGTGAAGACGTCTTGGAGGAAGCGTCCCTGCTCCCGAATGTTTTTATGGGCCACATTGCAGGCACCGTTCTTG